TGTTTGTAAATAACTGGACATAATGTGCTTACTATGTCCCAGTTATGAATGAATAGGAAGTGATCGATATCCCTGTTCATTCATGATTTTGTACATGGTAAACATACTATCTCCACAATGTATGAATAGACAGGAACATTCAGTTTAGAGGCTTCCTGTTCATTTATAACAGGGGCTGCAGAAAAAGAGATTGAGGTCTTCAATCTTATTTTCTATTTTAAAAAGGGATATATCAGGGGTCTTTTTAGACCCTTGATATTTCCCTAGAGCCACCAACAGTAAAGTAAAATAAAAATAATGTAAAATAATGTTTTTTTTTAAAGATTCGGAAAAAAAAAAGTAATTTTAGGATACGGTTTCAGTTTCGGCCTGCCAAATTTTTTAGTTTTGGTTTCGGCCTTAAAATTCCATTTCGGTGCTTCCCTACTTACCATAATTAACCGCGTCTGTACTGCGCTGGCAGATCTCATTATCAGTGGTAAACTAGAATTAAACACGGCCCGTCCTAGCAAAGAGTTAAATATCTTAAGGCTTGTAAATGAGGGAAACTCAGTCTGTCCCCACTTTGTTCCTCCACTTTTAAACTGTTGAGAGTAGCTTGCAGTCTGCTCAGAGGCCTGCTCCAAATTAAAAACTAAAAAAGGTAAGATGTATATGTAGGAGCGAGAGCATAGGCACAAGACTGTGAATGGTAGTGGGAGTGTATAGCCTTTTTTTTTTTTTGTTTTTTTTGTTGTTGTTGTTTGTTTGTAATTTCCTGTTATATTTTTTTGTTATAACAGATATAATAGTATCTATGAAGGTGGCTAGCTTAACATAGAAGTGATTAAAAATACTACTTAAACAAGCAACAATGGATAAGAGATAGTAGTTGGATATTGATGTCATCGGTACTATTCTTTTACGTATTTAATTGTATAAAGAAATTGTATATGATATGAAATAAATAAAAATATATTCTTGAAAAACAAGATATATATTTTTACGTATGCTGTGTTAATGGGAACACATAAAAAATACAAAACTATTTGCTAGATAAGAAGGAAACATATTTTAAAGTTTATGGTATGTTTTTATTTTATATTGAATCTCAAAGATGAAATGGGGTAGAGAAAGAAATTAAGAAAAAAAATAGCTTGTTTGAAAAATTGCTAGTTGAAAACAAAAATGGAAAATTGCAGGTAGTGTTATCAATTAGTTGTATCCCTTGTTTACTCTGTTAGTGTTCTGAAAGGTTCAGAATGAATCAATTTCTCGCCTTTTCCAATGTCTGTCTGAAGAGACTGTTTTCCGTTCACTGTCAGTGTGAGAAAAAGGTGGCCTTGTGTCTTTGTATCTGCACCAAATAGGAATATTAAAAGAGAAGTAAAGCCAAACCTTTTTTGGCTTTACTTTTCTTTTGAGTCCCATGAGTTTATATACTAATGTACTCCTATAACCTAAGTCGGCAGATATGGTCTGATGCTCGCTATCTGTTGACACCACAAAGCTGTGCCACAGCTGGAATGGATCCTGACAACGTGTCAGGATCCTCTGCGCTGCCTGATTGACAGCTGGCTCTGCTTCTCTAGGGCCTGACCCAGCCATGCCTATCCCTTCCCTGTTCATCCATCAATCCTCACAAATCATGGTGCAGTCCTAAAGTGAATGATTTTCCATATGCAGACACTGCCATTCAAGGGCACAGCCAGTGAAAAGAACTGTTATGGTTTCTAAGGATGTTAGTGAGTGGCTGTAATTCTCTTCTTTTAGTCAAAGTCGATCTAACACTGTCTGGAAAGATCTGTAGCAGAATCCCATTGTATGTGAAAGGGTTAAGCGTAAAAAGGGTTACTCTCCTTAGGATGTTCTCCTTGATAGTGAATTAGAGAAAATTACGCACACTGAATGGAATTTATTAAAACTGGAGCAGAAAAAAATCTGGAGCAGCTGTGCATGGCAACCAATCAGCTTCTCTCTTTCATTTTCAAATCTTAACTGAACAAATTGAAGAGTGAAGCCGATTGGAGCAGACAAAATCTGGTGCATGACAACCAATTTTGATAAATTCCCCCCAATGTCTCTAGGACTGTCCTGTGGAGCTGTTTTTAACCTAAATACTGTACATGGTAGGCTTGTTGAATTTTAAGAGGGCTGAGTTCTGCTACCTCTAGTATTGTGAATAGTTTCTGTAATTTAGGTATAATTTTTACCTCCGAAACTGACTCAGACAATCCTTACATTTTTAGATTATTCTTAATTTTTTAATTATTATTCCTCTATTTTATTAAGTCCTCCATTTAACAGAAGTCCATTTCTTTTTGGTGGGTGACATTTTTTTGTTTAATAAGTAAGAAGCATGTGCAATCAGGTCTTTGTTTTGTTTTTTTAATGTTCCATAGCTCCCAACATTTAAAAAAATTTCCAAGGACACCTTTTTTTCCTCCATGTTCAGCAATCCATTGTAGACGGAACATTTACTTTAATTAGGGGTGAGGCATTAATTTAAATGGGTGTGGTTCTACAAGAAGCAGATCTTTAACCTATTATACAATTTAAAATACTGTACAGATGATAAGGACTTTTACAAGCCAAGAATGCACTGTTCATAGTAAAATAATTTATGTATTTCTTTAGCTATCTAGAACTTCTAATCCATAAGTATTTTAAGTATCCAAAAGCTCTTGAAGAAAATACAGTGATAAACACCAATTACACAGCAAACACATTTAGCATAAAAACATTAAAAGATTTAAGTAAGTTGCAAAAATCTTGTGCAATAAATTTAGTTAGGACTGTCCCACAGCTTAATATAATGTACATAGTGTTTACAGTGCATGGGGTCAGGAGTATAATGTACAACATAGTGTATACACTGCAGGGGACAAAAGTAAAATGTACAACATAGTGAATGCAGGAGTAAAGTTCAGGAGTATAACGTACCTTATAGCTCATACAGTGCAGCGGTCAGGAAAATAATGTACAACATAGCATATACAGTGCAGAGGTCAGGAGTAAAAAGTACAACATAGTGAATGCAGTGCATGGTTCAGGAGTATAACGTACCATATAGAGCATACAGTGCAGAGGTCGGGAAAATAATGTACAACATAGCATATACAGTGCAGGTGTCAGGAGTAAAAAGTACAACATAGTGAACGCAGTGCAGGGGCCAGAATTGTGTAAAATACAGAATTCAGTGGCCAGTAATATTATGTCCCTTCTGGTCAGTGGGAAAAAATGTGCCCCAAAGTTGGTGAGAGAAAGTGGAGTAATCAACCTCCATCCTAAAATGGCTCTTTTCCTCCCCTTCACAGAGGACCCGCAGTGCCTAGGTGTCTGAGTGGGTGCAGAGTGTGAACAGTTTGGGGGCCCAGTGTGCGTGAACAGCATCTAGATTCTCTCCCTCTCACCTGCTCTTTTTATTGGTTCCTGTTTTCAGCGCCAGAGCAGGGCCTGGCTTTGTCTCTGAAGGAGGCACTGTCCCAATCTTCTGCCACACACAAGTACAGAGCAATGTGCTTAACGGAGTTTGAGTGGGGGAAGGATTTCCATATTAAGAAGCCTTGGCATCTGCATAAGAGTCACGAGATTTGAATATAAAAGGCCTGTGGGCACAATGTAACAGGCTGCTGAGCAGAGGTTTATGACAGACAGACTCACCAAGCCTCATACTCTGATCCCTGGACACAGCCATTGAAGGGCCCATGAATTATAATGGGGACTGTCCTGGCAAATCTGGGATAGTTGGTAAGTATGATGTTGCACATTTCTGATAAATGGCCAGCATATCTGTTTTAATCCCTCTTAACCACTTCAAGACCAGGTGTTTAGACCCCCTTCCTGGCCAGGCCATTTTTCAGTGTTCAGCGCTGCAGTACTTTGACTGACGTTTATTCCATCATGCAACGCTGTACTGAAATTAATTTTACACAATTTTTGGGGGACAGATAGAGCTTTCTTTTGGTGGTATTTAATCACCACTGGGGTTTTTATTTTTTACTATATTAAGAAAAAATTATTGAAATTTTTGGGGGAAAAAAGTATTTTTTTTCCATTATGTTAGGAAACAATGATTATTACCCATATTTTTGGTAAAATATAAAAGACGGAGTCACATCGGGTAAATAGACACCAAACATGTCATGCTTTAAAATTGCACGCACCCGCGAAATCGCAAAAAACTACCATACTCAAAATTTACCATAGGCGACGCTGTAAAAGCTTTTACAGCTCATCAGTTTAGTGTTATCAGTGATTGATGGCCTTAGAATTATTGCTCTCATTCCGACGTTCGCGACGATATGTAACATGTGCGGCGTAATGGGCGAAATCGTTGTTTTCGCTCGTATGTGCACCCGACGCCTGTTTGCATGCGTGTATGTATGGGGGGGACTTTAAAAAAAATAAAATAATAATTTAATTCTTTTTTATTTGTAACTTTAAATTTTTTGGGGGGGAAACTTACATTTATTTTTTTGTCCTATTTTTTTTTCACTTAACTTTATTGCTATCACATAGGGGGGTTAGAAAACCCCTTATGTGATAGCAAAATATGTGACAGGTCCTCTTTATGGAGACATCAGGGGTCTCCAAGACCCCTAATGTCACCTAGGACCCCCTGAAGAAGCTGATGAAGCAGAGATCTGCTTCATCAGCTTCTCTCCAGCATCTGAAGCTGGAGAGTGACACAAGAATGCGGAAGTGATGTAATATACTGACAGCGGAGAGGGGACCGGTGGGTGCTCGTGTCCCTCTGATCCCCTGTGACAGAGGCCGTATGCTGGTCCCGGGCTTGACAGCGGGAGGGGGGGAGCCGGGGAGGGGGCACACATCACGGGTCCTCATACAAGCGATCCGCCAGCTCTATAGCCGGCAGATCGCTTGTATATTAACGGGCATCGCTGCCTGTTTTCAAATAACAGGCATTTCCAGCTCGAGCGCGCCCAGGAGCAGCAGAGGTAAGGGTCTACTTCATTAGTCACTTGGCCACACCTCTGTTGGCATTTGTCAACATCATTAACATGTTTTAACTGATAAGTTAGATGCAGGTATGCTTATTTTTTTGCAGATCATCCCAGTAGTTGATCAGTTCATTGGGCTCAAACTGGTGGGAGGTGACTAATTGGTTGTACATACAAGGAGAATAGGAAACCTTCCAGTGGTTGAAATCAGAATCTCTCAATGGAGGTATAGGTGAAACCCCAAGTTTGTCCAGACATAGGCCAACAAACACATCTTCTAAGTGTAGAACCCTAATGTTTACAGAAATTTTAAGTATCTTTTCTGCCAGGTCTCCAGAGAAAACATAACCAGTTCCTGAACAAAACAGAGGGTATCGGTCACCTGGGTACAACTCCGGAGACATGTACCATTTACTCTCCTTATTGCGATTGGGTGAAAAATCTCTCATTAAATAACCTGTAAAGTAGTTTATCTTAGGAGGCTGATCTGGTTTCAGTAATACATTCACTAAATATTCAGTATTAACAAACATGTCGCTGTCTGTCTTCATGATGTAAGATGCCTGTGGACAGTAATTAGCAACCCACTGTAGGCCCATCAATGTCTTTAGAGTTAGGTTATTGTAGGTATCCAAATAATTCTGCTGGATGATATCATGATATTGCTGACTTTCAGCTACTAGTTTGTGTTGTATATCATTATCAGTCTTACTTTCTTTGCCTAAAAAAAACAATCTCAGTATATTTACTCCGGGTAAAAAGTCCTCCTTTCCCCAAGTTTTCCTGATAGCTTGACGAGCCTCTATTTGCCATGCCTGTACTGATATAAGCAGAACAAGAAATGGGTTGCTTTTCTGGCATTTATTAGGCTCAGTAATCATATATTTGTATTGAAAAGTGTCCTGAGATGTTTGCTGTTCTTCTCCAGCTTGCTGAGCCTCTACTACAGTTTGGGATGTGTCAGGGTTTTTCATGTTCTGAGAATAATTTGTTAGAATGAGGAAAGGCTGAAAATAGTCATTTCGGGTCAATGACATGAAAAGCAGGAAAATCAAAGTCACAAATCCTGATATGAACACAGAGAACACTAAGCGCTTGATGTTCAACTTCAAACATGGAGTACAGTAAAAGTGTTTCCTCATGGTTCACATGGGCAAAAGGGTCTTGGAAGTTCACAATACTGGCATTAAGGATATCTTGGTCCAGAGGTACAATCTGTATAAAAAGAGAAAATATGAGTTAAATTTTACAGGCTATATTTTCACCATAAGCATTTGTCATTGTTGATCTTTTCTTCCAATTATTATTATTATTATAATACAGGATTTGTATAGCACAGCGCTTCACAAAATGGAGGGAAACAGTACAGTTACCATACAATTTCAATACAGGAGGGTTTGGAGGGCCCTGCTTCTGAGAGCTTACAATCTAGTAGGATGGGCAAGCGCTACAAAAGGTAATAATTGTGAGGGGTGAGTTAATGGAGGAAGTAAATGAACAGTTATTATATCACGGTGGAATAGAGTTTTCAAGGATCGCTTAAAAGTGGACAAAGTAGGAGATAAGCGGACAGATTGTGGTAGGGAGTTCCAGAGGAAGGCAGAGGCCCTGGAGCAGTCCTGGAGGTGATGAAGGATCTAGTGAGTAGGAGGTCTTAAGCGGAGCAAAGAGGACGGTTTGGGTGATATTTTGAGATGAGGTTGGAGATGTAGCCGGAGGCAGAATTGGAGATGGCTTTGTATTTTATTGTTAGTATTTTAAATTTTATTTGTTGGGCAAGTGGGAGCCAGTGAAGAGATTGGCAGAGAGGGGATTTTTCTTTAAAGAAAAACTGCAGGTACTCCAGGAAATGTAAAAATTAGCCCTTACAGTAATGCTCATTTTGATCTAGGAGCTAAAATAAAGAAAATATATGCACCTGATCCTCAGTCCTGCAGCAGTCAGCGCTTACCTCCCTCCCCCTCCTCTCTGGCAGTGGAATTTCCCTTGGTGTCGTCACGTCTAATGCAGCTGCTTTAGATGCGATGATGTCACGGATTGCGTATATGTTCTTTTTTTTAGCCCCTAGACCAACACCAGCACTTAATTCTTGGAGTGCGGGGGTAACCCCACTGCAAAGGTAACTTTAACATCTCCTGGAGTTCTTCTTTAAAGGAGGTGAACTATGATAGTTAGAGCCGATGTGTGACAATGAAACTGTAGATCGGGAAGTGAGCGAACGCATACCGTCACTCGCTCACTTCTCGATCATGTCCCTGCAGAGAGCCGTGACTGTCACTCACAGCTCCCTGCAGGGATTCCCCCCTCTCCGATCCTCGAGCGCTGACTGGCGAAACGGAAGGGGAGGGGTCGGGTACAGCTGGGTGGATCTCAACAGTAATTTTCGGCATCCGTCCTGGCTGCGGCAGTCTCAGTACAGCTCACGGTATACGGAGCTTTGGGTCACGGGAGGACGCTAGTTTGTGTCCTCCCGTGACCCTTAGGAGAATTATGGGGAAAAACACTTACCCCATAGTTCTCCTTTTAACACACTTCTCATACACATCTCAACTTTTAGCTTTAGATTTTGCATAAGATAGCTTTATTTTTTTTGTCAGATGCCCTCTTATTAATACAACAGCAGTACGTATTTGCATTATGGTAATAGTGGCTTTTTGTCATGAACAGATCTGACAGGTATACTTTCATAAGTCTAGTCACTGAGCTGCAAGGTTCAGTTCTTTTGCTTCCGACAATTCATGCTTTATACACAGTTTTTATATATGACTTTATGGGGCATTGCAGATTCTTTCAGAAAAGTTTCCCACAGTCTAAAGCCTCTATTTTACATTGGCCTACCCTTTTCAATTGTAAAAATCACAATCAGTAGTTTTAAATGTTTAAAGATGTGGAGTTGCTTTTGGCTAGAGATCAGCATACTTCTGTCACGGCTCTCATTAAATCTTTGCCATAGGCTCAATACACAACATGTAATTTTAACAGCTATAATAAAATCAGTTCACTAGGGTTACTGCCCAAGTTATCAGTCCTTAAAATTGAGCAGGTGCAGAGCAGAGCAGTTGCAGACCGGATCAAAACTGCGTCCAATGTATTCCAATTGTATTTTTAGCTCCAGTTGACATCGCAGCGTGCAGTTCCAGAGCAGGTCAAAAAAACTGCAGCAGGCCCTATTTTACCTGCTCTGGATCTGCTGGAGCGCATGCAAACGCATCAAAAATGCATGCAAATGCCTGGAACGCACTGAAAGCCCATGTTAAACTAAAAAAAAAGAAAATTGTTTTTTTAACCAATAACGGCCCGGAACGCATCAAAAACGTGACAAAAAACGCGACACAACCCACTGCACTGCGTGTGCAGAAACCTGAGCGGATCTGCTCTGCATTTGGTGTGAACAAGGCCTCTTAACCTCTTACCATATATACCAGTGGTGGCGAACCTAGGCACTCCAGCTGTTTTGGAACTACAAGTCCCATGAGGCACTGCAAGGCTCTGACAGCCACAGATATAACTCCCAGAGGCAGATGCATGTTGGGATTTGTAGTTTTGGAACAGCTGGAGTGCCAAGGTTCGCCACCACTGATATATACTGTGTTTCTGTGAGGCGAGATTATTTATATATATATATATATATTAGTGACAGCAGGCAGGTGAAATCACCTGGGTGTATCCAGAGTGACATCTATGTGTGTCCCAGGTTCAGGATGTATGCAGATTTCTTTCCACTAGAGGTAGTACTGGGAGGCTGGACTGGTAGAGGTAATGAGCCCAGCTGAAGGAAGCTGGCTCATTAGTGCCTCTATAAGAGCTCCCAGACTGCTCAGAAAATGGCTCCATCCTGGAATCAGTTTCATTCCTGAAGAGACTGGGGAGCTTCCTGCTGACCTGTGTGGTGAAAAATGGAAAACAAATCTCGTGTGGTGAGACACAGCCTGTGTGGCAGTTGATGGAATAGGGAGATAGGTGCTAGGGGCAGCACAAGGTTGCACCTAGTGGGTAATGAGGGATATCGTGTGTATAGTAAGTGGCCAACAGGCCAAGCTTTATTTTTATGTTATGTTTGCTTTGCTCAACTTTTCTTGTAGCTAGGTATGAATAAACTGCATGTGTGTTTCACCCGAAGCAATCCTTGTTTGCGGTGCCTAATTTCTGTGGTGTGAACCCATCCATGGGGTCAATGTTGGGTTGGCCCACCCTTTGCATCTCTAACAGTTTCAATTCGTCTGGGAAGGTGTCCACAAGGTTTAGGAGTGTATCTACAGGTGAAACTCGAATAATTAGAATATCGTGCAAAAGTTCATTTATTTCACTAATGCAACTTAAAATGTGAAACTAATATATGAGATAGACTCATTACATGCAAAGCAAGATGGTTCAAGCCGTGATTTGTGAACAATGCAGAAGAGCTGAAGGCCGCTCTTGAAGCATCCTGGTCTTCCATAACACCTCAGCAGTGCCACAGGCTGATAGCTTCCATGCCATGCCGCATTGAGGCAGTAATTGCTGCAAAAGGGGCCCAAACCAAGTACTGAGTACATATGCATGCTTATACTTTTCAGAGGTCCGATATTGTTCTATGTACAATCCTTGTTTTATTGATTGCATGTAATATTCTAATTTTCTGAGATTGTGGATTTGGGGTTTTCATGAGCTGTAAGCCATAATCATCACAATTATGACAAATCACGGCTTGAACTATCTTGCTTTGCATGTAATGAGTCTATCTCATATATTAGTTTCACCTTTTTAAGTTGCATTAGTGAAATAAATGAACTTTTGCACGATATTCTAATTATTCGAGTTTCACCTGTATATGAATGTTTGATCATTCTTCCAGAAGCGCATTTGTGAGGTCAGGTACTGATGTTGGAGGAGAAGGCCTGGCTTGCAGTCTCCGCTCTTATTCATCCCAAAGGTGTTCTATCTGGTTGAGGTCAGGACTCTGTGCAGGCCAGCCAAGTTCCTCCACCCCAAACGCGCTCATCCATGTCTTTATGGACCTTGCATTGTGCAGTGGTGTGCAGTCCTGTTGGAATAGGAAGGGGCCATCTCCAAACTGTTCCCACAAAGTTGGGATTGGCAAAATTCATCACTCCAGAGACCATGTCTCCACTTCTCTAGAGTCCAGTGGCGGCGTGCTTTACACCACTGCATCTGACACTTTGCATTACACTAGGTGATGTAAGGCTTGGATGCAGCTGCTCGGCCATGGAAGCCCATTCCATGAAGCTCTCTACGCACTGTTGTTGTGCCAATCTGAAGGCCAAACGAAGTTTGGAGGTCTGTAGCTATTGACTCTGCAGACAGTTGGCGACTTCTGTGCGCTTCAGCATGCGCTGACCCCACTCTGTCATTTTACGTTGCCTACCTTTTCGTGGCTGAGTTGCTGTTGTTCCCAGTTGCTTCCACTTTGTTATAATACCACTAACCGTTGACCGCAGAATATTTAGTAGCAAGGAAATTTAATGGATGGACTTATTGCACAGGTGGCAACCTATCATGGTACCACTCTTGAATTTACTGAGCTCCTGAGTGATATAGTGTATATTTTAACAATAGCATAACGACAATTAACTCCAATTTAAGAAGCAAAAAGTGCAGGAAAGGGGTGAGATCATTATTTAACCTAAGGCTGTTACAAGAGAATTATGGCACAACCTGTTTTTGCCATAGTGCTCTTTAGGGTCACAGGAAGACGCATACTAAATGTCCTCCTGTGACCCAAAACTCTGCATATAGCAGGCTATTGCCCGCTATATGCTGACAACATAGAGCCATGCAGCGGCCATGAAACATCCCGACAATATTGTCAGGATCCACCCCTCCATCTGATTGACAGCTCTTTAGAGGCAGAGCCAGCTGTGCCTGCCCCCTCCCCTCTCTGTCCCTCAAATCAGTGCTGGAGGAACAGAGAGGGGAGGGGGCAATTCTCTGCTGGGAACGGTGACTAACCATTACCACTCTCTAGACTGCAGGG